GAATCGAACTCATGCGGAAGTGGCTTTAGCTTCTCAGTGCAGTGCTTTAACCCACTGCGCCACCAGGGAGGGCCATATAATAGTTTATTTTTACATCATTTTGTACATTTTTTTTCATCTCAATTGTCATCCCCGTGGGTTTCCCATCACCGAGTCACCCATGTGCCATCACCATAGTTGTTCTCAGATTTTAATCTCAACTCAAGCTTGTCCAAATCACAGCTCAGTGATCAACTCACATGTTTGAGAAACAATAAGAGGTCCCTGCAGTGACTGATTCAGAGACAGCTTTGTGTTTGGCTTTCCTCATCTATGAAACAGGTAAAATAAGATTCCCTACCTCACAGCCTTGTTACCAGATGCACAGGGCACTTAGAAGAGCAGCCTGACGTCACTGAGTACTTTATAATGTTTTTTAAAATAAAGACATCTGGAGCCCTCATTGGTCATACAGCGGGTTAGAGCACAGCACTATGAAGCTACCCACAGCCACTGCAGGATGAGTTCGATCCCCAGCCAGGGAGTGACCCACATGGCGCGGCAGACCTCTCCCGTCTCACCCACTGCCCCCCTCAGCAGTGTACTTCATTGATCTGCCTGTTCTGCACCCCACTCTGTCTCTGGTGAACCCTGTCACCCTCTACCTCCCTGGCCTGTACCCCAGAGAAAAATAAAGACATTTGAAGAATTTTCATAAAGATAATTTTAAATACGATCTGCTTTTATCCCTTATGCATTGGCTTTAACATTCTCCTCCACCGTTTGATGCAACTCCAGTGGAAAATGTAACCAAATGAAGATGCAGTAAATAGTTGAATGATGAGTGTTCCTGTTTTTGTTTTTTTTTTAGCTTATTCTGTCCCAGGCCCATGAAGTTGTTGCTCCCACCCCATGGTTGGCCAGTGATGGTATTTGCCACTGATCTTGAGGCCTGAAATCCAAGATGGGAGGTGGATGCCTCTGGGCAGTGGACTGGTGGTTAAGCCCAGCTCTCCTTCCTCAGCTTACCTGACTTCTGCAGGTAAGTGGGTTCACCTGAGCCTCGGCTTCCTCTTCTAGAAGACGGGGCTGTGAGGAGGGTGTGGCGTCCACACAGTCACACGCGTGGCCCCTGACACACAACAACTGCAGCTGTGGTGACGAGGATGAGGCGGCAGGTGGGTGGGAGGCCGAGTGTCCGGGCAGCTGCCCTGGCTCTGTCATAGGAAGCTTCCATATCCAAGGAGGCGGGTCACCCTTCCTTCCTGCTGCAATGCAAGGCTGGTGGCATCGCTCAGGAAATGAGCTGTGCCCGGGCCACGCCCCTCACCTGCAGTGGCTCACAGGCCCTGTGACCTGTGACATCACGGTCAGAAAGAGCTCACGGAGCCCAAGGCTGAGATGAAAGCAGTGTTCTCTGCTAGTCTTTTCCTCTCAGCTTTAATTGGACCTCACCCCTAAGTCAGTTTCCTCCAGAAGTAGCAGGGTCCTTAGGTGTGGCTGCTGGCAATGGCAACCCCCAGAGAGAAGGTGGTATGGCTGAAGCGAACAGATCTGTGCCCAGCTGTCACGGGGATTCGGTCATGCATTCACTCATTGAACACATCTTTCCCGTGTACCTGCCATAGGCCAGACAGACAAAATCCCTGTCTTTGTGATCTGACAGTCGAGTGTGGAACCTGGACTAGTGATCAGCATAACTCACAGGCAGCTATTAAGTCTGTTAAGTGATGAATGACACTATCAGGATGGGTAAGCTTAGGGCAGAGCTTGGCACAATGCAGCCTATGTTTGTTTTTGTACAGTTCCCAAGTTAGGAATGGTTTTTATTTTCTAATTTATTTTTCTTTCACTTTTTTTTAAAAAAGTGGGGTACAGGCCAGAGATGCGGAGGGTGAGAGGATTCACCAAAGACAGAGCGGGGAGCAGAACAGGCTGATCGACAAAGTCCACTGCTGAGGGGAGCAGTGGGCAGGCCAGGAGAGGTCTGCCGCGCCATGGGGTCACCTCTGGGGCAGGTGGGAATCGAACTCATGCGGAAGTGGCTTAAGCTTCTTAGTGCTGCGCTTTAACCCGCTGCGCCACCAGGGAGGGCCTCACTTTTTTTTTTTTAATGATGGGGAAAAGAAAATCAAGAGAAGACTTGATGGTGTGAAATTTACATGAAATTCACATTTTGGTGTTCATAAATAAAGTTTTATTGCAACACAGCCAAGCTGCCCAGGTTACATATTGTTATGGCTATTTCTGTATCATAACTACAGAATTGAGTTGCCATGACAGATCACGTGGCCCCCAAAGCCTAAGCTCTTTAATGACTTGATCTGATTTTTACAGAAAACATTTCTAGATCCTTGGTTTGGGGAGTCAGGCGTAGAAAGTAAAGGTAGATCCTCATGTTTGAAATTCAAGGAGAGACTCAGTGAGAAAGTGACATTTAGGTAAAGCAGGAAGGAGGGAGCTGTCTGGGCCGCTGGGGAAGAATATTTTATCTGACTGAGGTATTAGCAAACCCCTCTGGTTCCCCTCTGGTTGCACGTAGGGAAGGCAAGCAGCAGGAAAACCCAGGAGTAGGGTGCAGAGATACCCTAGGAAGATGATGGGCAGCAGCTGGAGAAATAGGGGAGTCGGCAGGTCTGGCGCAGTCTTTCTGGATAGATGATAGTCTACCTGGAGAAAAGTCTCCTAAAAACTCCCACATCCCAGGGGTCTAGCCCCAGCTTGGTGGCAAACAGGCTGTGTGATCTTAAGTAATTTGCTCAATATCTCTTAGCTTTGGTTTTTCCATTATGAAATGTGGTTCCATAATATCGGGGTGCAGGATTAACAGGACCTCATACTGGGAGGTGTTCCCTCCAGCCCAGGCACCTATGGTATTGAAGCTCATTGCCAGGTGAGACCCAGCGACACCTAGGCTCAGGTCACCGTCCCTGAGGTGTGTGCCACTCTCCTGCGCCTCCACCACTCACCTCCTCTGGATCCCTCCTTTTCAGCCCCCGCTGGCCGCAGGTGCCCAGGCCCTGGTAAGCCTCAGTTTCATCATCTGTTGATGGCCTCCCTAAAGTCTGCACTCCAGATGACCAGGGCCGTTAAGTGACATAGTGCATGTACCATGTGTGCCTGAAACAAACCAAGGGCTTAGGAATCACCGTGATCTGGACTGACAGCTGTACGGATCCCCTCAGGTACTTTCCCCAATATTTTATTGTGAAAAATTTTAAGTGAGTGGGAAAATTGGAAGAATTTTATAAGAAACACAGGTTGCTCTACTACCTGGAATTTACCTTGGACGTTTTACTGTTCTTGCTGTATCACACACCTATTGATTCCTCTAGCTATTCACCGATCAATTTCTCTTTTATGATGAACCCTGAAGTATTTCTAATCAAGATTTCCAAAGACTCCATTTTACCAAGTGCTATTTTTAGCACAGTTCTTAACTTAGTTCGTGATTACATCTATCCACTCATCTATTCTCATTGCAACTCTCTAAAATATGTCAACTATGCAGTGTGCTATATCATTCCCACCTTGCACTTGAGAAAACTGAAGCAGAAAACTGAAGCAAAGGACTTACAGCTGCAAAAGGTTGGAGCTGGGTTTTAACCAGGGCCATTTGGCTCCAAAGCTCTAGTTTTTATTCATTAATGCCATTTCTTTTCTCAGGATGGTTGAAGTATGCAATATCATGGAATATTATGCAGCCAGTGTAAAAGAATGTTTAGAACAAAACTTTAAAATAACACTGGACCATGGTATGATCATGATTCAGTCCAGATGCTGGGTCTAAGAAAAGGGCTGCAAGGAGGGGTACCCACTTTTATCAGAGGAAGTTTAGGGATAAATGGATAGAGTGATTACATGAAATGCTTTGTTGATAATTCCTGCAGTTCTTAATTGAGCTTTCTTTGTGCCCCACCCTGTATTACAGGCTTTGCATGCTGTATCTTCCCAAGCACTTGTGAGGTAGGTGCTGCTATATGCACTTTAGAGATTAGGACAAATAGGCTAAGAGCAGACTAGGACTTGCCCAAGGTTATCCAGCCAAGAAGTGGTAGAGCCAGGATTCAGATCCAAGCTTGTCAGTTCCCTAAACCATTAAACCTCTCTGGTTCTTTTTATTTTCCTATTTTTCAGTAATAAAATGATAACACTTTTACAGTGGAAACATGAAGGAAAAAGTCCCATAAGAAAGTAGACCCATTTATATTATTGGCCATGAGTATTATTTTCATAAATTAAAAACCCTACCTCATACCATATAAAAAAAATCAGCTCCAGATAGATTGCCAACCTAAATGTAATACAAAATGGCAATGCTTTGGAAAATAGTAGAAGAGAATATCAGGATGCTTTGGAGGTATGAGAATATTTATTTAAAATAACAAATATAACCATAAGTAAGGGGTTGAGAAATTAGACTATGCTAAATTAGACTTTCATTGAAAAGTGACATTAAGGCCCTCCCTGGTGGCACAGCAGGTTGGAGCACTGCACTGTGAAGTTAAGCCAAGCTGCTTCAGTGTGAGTTCGATCCCCTGCCCCGGAGGTGACCCACACGGCACAGCAGACCTCTCCTGACCCACCTGCTGCTCCCCTCAGCAGTGTACTTTGTTGATCTGCCTGTGCTTCTCCCCACTCTGTTTCTGGTGAATCCTCTCACCGCCCCTGCACCTCTGGCTTGTACCCCGTTTCTGTATGCCTAAATAAATAAAATCTTTAAAAAAAAAAGTGACATTAAGAGAGTGAAAAAAGTGAGCCATAGAGTAGGAGATATTTACACTAAACTAACTAATGGCCTAGAACATACAAAGGACAAATCCATTTAAAAATGGACAACCCAACAGAAAATCAGGAAAGACACTTGAACAGCACATTATGGAAAAAGAATATTCAAAGACCCATATCCAAATGGAATAATGTTCCATTTTATTACTCATTAGGGAAATGCAAATTAAAATAACAATGAACTACCATACATATCCATAAGAGTGACTAAAAGCAGAACACCTCACAATGCCAATTGTTGATGAACAATGGAAATTCTCCAACATGGCTGGAGGGAGAAGAAATTATTCCCAGCACTTTGGAAAAATTTTTGATAAGATCTACTGAACATAAACATATATATCCCCATTGGCCCAGACATTCCACTCCAGAAAAATGTGTATACATGGCCACATATATTGTGAATGTGCTTGAACAAAAATTATTCCAGAACGTTAAGACCAAGGTCTAGAATGTTACAAGAACCAAAAGATGGAAGCAACTCCGATTTCCACTGGCAGTTATGTAAAGAAATTGTGGTATAGTCACACAATAGAATACTGTCTGGCAATGAAGCATGAACCTCATATTTATGCTCAACTTGGATGAACTCACACTCACAATATTGAGTGGAGGAGGCCAGACACACATTCATACTATATGACTCTTTATATCAGACAGAACATTGGCAGACTGGAGCTGCTCTATATAGGGACCCTCTTAGGTGGTGAAACCTAGAGCAGGTAGAAATGTGAGTGTGCACCTTCACAGAGGGAGGGGAGGAGAACGCAGTGTCTGGGAGGGGGCAGGGGCTGCTGGTGGAAAGTGGGTAAGATTGATTTTTTACCTTGGTGGTTATTAAGCACCTGGGTTCCCTTTCTCATAACTTCTTAAGTGAAAAAATTCTATTTTCAGGTTCTTGTCTACAGATGTGTGTGTGTGTGTAATATTTTATTTTTTAAAAAGATTTATTTATTTATACATACAGAACTGGGGTACAGGCCAGAGGTGCAGGGGCGGTGAGAGGATTCACCAGAGACAGAGTGGGGAGCAGAACAGGTGGATCTACTGAAATCCACTGCTGGGATCCTCCCTGGGTTAAAGCATAGTGCTGCAAAGCTGCCGGGCTGCTTTGGTGTGAGTTTGATCCTTGCCCCAGAGTTGACCCAAAGGGCACAGCAGACCTTTCCTCTCTCACCCCCTGCTCCCCTCAGCAGTGTACTTCATCAATCTGTCTGGTTCTGCTCCCCACTCTGACTATGGTGGATCCTCTCA